CAGAGTTCGCCTGTAGTAAACGCATTGGGAACAAAACGAAACCCGTTGGCGTTCGTTTCCCGTCTCCCATCCGGACGCTCTCGCTCCTTTCTTGACATCCACCTATTACTGCGGGTGGCCCTTACCCCGGAACAATCGGCCGTCGAACCCGGCTGTTGGAAAAATCAACAACCAACGGTTGCAGAGCTCTCAGTGGCGCATCCTTACCGTTCCCTAGTAAGTGAGCGTTGCTATAGGCACTGGTGCTTTGAAGTCAGTACGGTGGGTGGAAACGCGGCACGTATATAGGTACGAAAGGTACCCGTATACGTACCGACGGGCAAATAATGAGCGAGGCCGTGAGCGGTCTCTTCAGGCCGGCCAGCGAGAGCCGCTCGCCTGCCCTTAAACACATGGACGACGCCTCAGAGCAGGCGCCAGCCCGTCGGTTTTCATACGGCGGAGCTGCAGTCGTGACCGAGGATATGGCTTATGTTGTGGGCGGGTCGGTTTGAGGACTGCTTGGAAGAATCCGAAGCGGATGTGTTTGCCACGGAAAGCAAAGGCGACATCGCCGAACCATCTGGAGGAAGAGCTGTGGCTATTTCCGGGAAGAGAGAGGTCAAGTTAAAGTTGGATAAGTGGGACGTGTTGGTCATGTGCATCGGCGGCATATCCGGCAGCAAAGGAAAACTCGGCTGAGCGAAACCGACGGGCCGGGGAGGAGACAAAATGGATCCAAAACGATTGTTCAAACTTCCGCCGCTCGGCTTCTCCGTGCTTGGGTTAGGAAACATTTGATTGGGAAAGTAAGGGATAGAAATGTCGTTGGAAAGGGTAGGATGGGCAGGAGAGTAAGGAGGATAGAAGGACGGCAGGGTATTCTGAGGATCGACCGGGATTAGAGCGGGCGTGCGAGTGGCGCTCGGCTGAGTGACTGGTGGGATGAAAGAGGCGTTGGCATTTATCGGGGGATTCATGCCTCCCTCCGGAATAAAAGGAAATCCAAAATTCTGAGAGAGAGTATGCTGGTCGGGGGCCGTGTTATCGTTCGACACCTGAGGGCCATCCGCCATAAACCGGACGATGCTTCCTCTTTTTTCTATGGCAGACTGCTGGCGCCCGAGGATCATGCTGCCGCCGGCGGACAGGGGGAGATGGGGAAGACTAGGGTCAAAGACGTTTCCGTGCCTTTGATTTCCAGACCGATTCCTTTCAGGCTGACGTATTTTGGAACCTCCGTTATCTTGCAGAGGATGCCTCGACCGCTGAGTAACTGAAGAATTCGGCGGACGGACAGAAGGTTGCCCTTGCTCGCCATTTCCGTGAGAAACCGCGGGGTGAGGGTGCGTTGGCCTCACAACCCCATGCATGTTGCTAGAAACGGGCGTATTCATGTGGCTCTTCGTTCCATGACTGTCCGTCATCCTCATGGGATTGGACTTCTGCACGGAGATGTTTGGGCTCGTGTTGCGCCCCTGAATATCTCCCGAGGAAGAAGAACTCGAAAAGGGAATACTCAGAGAACTGTTCCTTGTGTTAATCGCACCAAGCGACATGTCACAGCTCTCTCTGCTCTGGCCATCGCCATCTCTTCGGATGTGGACGCTCTCCCGCGCTGGGGGACAGCTGTACTCGATCGTGGAGGAGGCGCCGCACTGCGTGTTCCTTTGATGTTCCGGGATTGACCTTTGGCTTCCACTGACTTGATCTCCGAGGTGAGGGGCGAGTAAACTCTGCATAAAACTTTGGTGGCAGGTGTTTTCGTTTTCCCTCGACGGCAGGGTATTTCCTGTTGGAATACCCTGTACTGGCTGGTAGGGCAATCTCTTCTGCCTCTCTATGGACGGCCCGGTGTTTTGACCGATCCGGAAGGCTTGCGACTGCATGCCCCTGAGGGATGACACAGAATTACCAATTTCGCTGTTTCTTGAAGCCTGTACGTCGAAGTTGCCCGCCGGCTGTTGGTTGGGTCCAGCTGGCTTAAACGTCTGGCAGTCAGAAAGCCGCTGCACGTCCGAGCCCACTGGATGGTCGACAGATAAGCGACCCTGCATGTTGTGAATGGCCAGCCCTTTGTTTCTAGGAACATCGAGGTAGCTTCTCATTTCAAGCTGGTCAGGAACCCTCGGGCCTTGAAGGGAGATCCCTATTCTCTGTTCCGAATTAGAGGGCGTCTTCCCGATGAGCGCCTCGGCAGAGTAGCTGGAAACCCTATTTCTTTCCTGCCTGTGAGGGGTGCACGTCATATCCGACGGTCTGGTTACGATACTTGCCTGGGACACCATCTGCTGCTCTAAGCCCCTTGAGGTCATCAGCCTCTGCATCTGACCGTGCCCCGACACGTGCTCGGAAGCTGAACCTTGCTGCCTGCTGCCGACGTCTGGCTGCTGTTGGTGCATAAGATCCTGGTTGATATGGCTCTGAGGGTGGGTATGATGGTTTCTGCTGGTTGCAGGGTTTTCACAGTTCTTTTCAGGCTGGGAGGCTCCGAAGTGCTGCTGCATCTGCTGCTGCATTTGCTGGTGGTGAGGATGAGGCTGACCACCCTTTTGCCGCGTCTGATCGCTCCCGTGGTGTTTTTGCTGGAGAGAAAGCTGCGTGGCTTGCGTTCCCTGGATGAGGTTTCGTTTCTTTTGCATCTGCACCTCCTGCTGCATCGTTCGCTGTTGGTGGACGCCGGGGGGGTGAGAGTGGACGGAGTTTTCCCCGTGAGGGACGTGGTGCTGCAGCTGGTACAAGTGGTGCCTTTCTCTCAGCTGGCCGGCCTGCTGCTGCTTTAGGTAGGGGTGGTTGCTGTGAAGGTGAGAGATGCCTTGAGCGGGAACGTGCTGAATCGGCTGCAAGTGCTGCCCCGCCTGGCCTTGCTGCTCTGAAATGGAGGGCTGAGAACCGCACTGAACTTCGGTTTGCCTCAAAGCTGGTGCCGCGAAGTTGCCGTTTGATGGGAATAACCTATTAAGGCCATCCGCGTGCCCTTGGTTGCTGACGGGTGCCACTGAATTGGATGAATTAGGAGGAATCTGGCTGACCAGCATCTGCGTTTGATCAGCAATACCCTCCGGCGTCCGGTTCATCAACGCCATCCCTTCCAGCCTGATGGGCGTCGTCTGGCACTGCTTTTGCCTCTTCGCCGTGGAAAGCAGAAGGTCATCCTGCACAGCCCGCTTGGCAGAGTCCTTGCGACCTTCGTGGTTCTGCTGCTGCTTCAAGTGAGGCTCCTGCAGCTGGGGAGCCTGCATGGCGCTTGCCCTGATTGCATTCAGTTGTTCCTGAGCGTATTCGCTCATCATAGCGGGTCCCGGAGACGGATTGATGTACGTGCTAGACGGAAGGGAGAGGCTCACGGTTGCTGGGACGCTTGCCGGCTCTGAAGACTGGGATAAACTCGAGCAGCTCACAAGGGGATGGACGATGCGGCTCTGGTGTATGAGGTTATTCACGCTCAAACTGGTTATGCTCGGAGACTGGGAAGCGGAAATCTGGAGAGAAGTGTTCGGCGTTTCCACGCCGCCGCCGGAGCAGCTTGGCTTTTCAACCTGTCTGTCGGCACTCGCCTGTACTGCATCCTGAGTACTGAATTTGGTTGCTGCCGCTTCCAACCCTCCTGCGTTGCTTTCTTTCACTGGCTGAGGTTTAAAAGGCTGCGGCTCTCTCTCCGAAGGTGCAACCTCAGTTGGCTTAGAGACGGCATCCCTCACGTTAACCTGTATCCCTCCTCCTCCACCTTTCTCCAGGTTTTCCTGGTCGAAAATAGCTCTTGCCGCCAGAGCTACGATGTCGGTCTGTTCTGAAAACGTGCAGCTGTTACACGTGCTGGTTGAGGTGCTGCTAGTGACGTCTTCCCTGCTGGTATCTGGCAACATGGATGCAACCGAGAAGCCCCGACTGCTGCCGGAGCTCGTGGACATGGGGGAGTCTGCCTGCCTGCCAGCGATAAGGGAAGCACTGACCACTTCCTGATCAGAAATGCAGGAGTGATGCTGGGAGAGGGCATCTCCTTCCGTGTTCATCAGCAAGAGATCCTGCTTCTCGGGCAAATCAGCACTGGATTCTGCTGATTTTGAGTTTTCCATGGGAAAACTAGAATGCTCCCCCTGAAGGGTAAATGAAGAGGATTTTTCCACCGCTGTTCTTTCTTTCGTGAGATCAGACAGCATTTTGGTTAGACCCTGCCCCTCTAACAAGTCCGCGTCTTGCATCGCCTCTGAGGAATCCCGCGCAACGCTGCAGGAATCCAAAATCGTTCCTGCCTTGGAAGTATGACCCACCGTGCTGCTCTGCGCCGCCGGCGTCCCAGCAACCTGAGGCTGTGTCACGCATGCGTCTGTACGAGAGGAGTTTAAGGTGCCGGGGGGTTCGCGGGGTTTGGGAGACTCTGACGGGGCAGGGCCGGGTGGTGGCCGGCTCTGAGACCCACACC